GACCCCATTTCACCTACATGCGCATTATCCCTACTGTGTAGTTTATATACAGTGTATACTTAAGTCTGGAAAGGAACAACCTGGCTCTGGAAGTCATTTACTCCGGTCACGAAATAACGAATTTAAAGCAATGCCGATAAGTATAGCCGAATTCTTAACACACGGACCTTATACAGGGTGTCAATTTTAAAACTTGCAGTCGGCCATATATTTTCCAAACTAAAGAAGATATTGAAATTCGCAACCATTTCGGGGGTATCGATGGGGAACCAGAATGACGTTATGAGTGACAACCCCCCCACTCACCTTAACCCCCCAGCCCCTCCTCTTCAAAAATCCTAAATGGCAACCCCATACTTGTGACACATCGTTGGAAAGCTACTAAAAAATGCTTTTCAGTGGTACCAATAAAGGCAATATTGATAATAAAACTTGAATGTTGCTGTATACTTATAATTGTAATATGTTTTCTTTAGGTAATCGATTTCGGCCCTAGGCCATCTTCAGACCTTGCTGAAATTACATTAGTGAAGTGGTGGATAATATAAAGTTAGCGGCTTACCGTCATAAAATACATGTAATATTGAAATATACTCGGAAACATATGTAAAATGGTTAAAACTTGAATTAAAATAGTTGTAAAATGGAGCTGAAAAGAAAGTAAGGATAGTGTACCATGTGTAATTGTGTGTGGGGTGTTTGTGTATGTGTGTGAGAGAGGGTGGTTTAATGTGTAAAGTGTTAATTAATAAAGAATTTATACTTACATGTGGTGTGTGTGTGTACCTATGTGTGTTTTGAGCATTCCCCCAACATCAAAACTGCCGCTTTCAACTTCTTATTTAATATACTTCTAAATACACCTCTCAACACATACAACTACAACCAAGAATACAACACCATTCTACAGATCGCACAAAATAATTCATACACAAAATCCTACATTATTAATCTATACAAAAAACTCAAACAAAAACACACACTTAAACAAATCTACCCACATCACAAAATTAATAACAAGTACATCTCAATACCCTTTCACAAACACCTCCATACACAATTACAAAAAACATTAAACCCATACAACATCACACTTACAAATAAATCACACCCCACGTTAGCCAAAATATTAAATAACAGCAAACCCAAAGACCCTTTTTACCATAACTCCGGGATATATAAAATAAAATGTGATCAATGTAATTATACATACAGGGTGATTCCTATAGTACCTGCCACCGTTTGGGAGCGTGTAGGTGGTGCGTAGGGGAGTATTTTGATATAGGACACTTGGGGTCGAAAATCTAAAATAAGGGTGCCAGAGCCAAATTTACCTTCTGGAATTTCGCGCCTGTAGGTAGGCAACCCAACCGGCCGGCGGTGCACACGGAGCGATCTCAGGCGGCGATGTGTGGCTGACACTTGATCAGAATTTTGTTTAAACCCACGAAATCCCGTCTGCAACGACACGTATCAAGTGAATAAACACTATGGCAATAGTATAATAATAGTTGGCTAGATGTAGGAAGTGCATTGAGAACAACGGTGGCCACGTTGAACGCTTGTAAACGTTGTTGCTTTTGACTGTCGTTTCCCTCCTTCCCTCCCATGTCGCTTCCTCGCGCTAACTCGCTCTGCATCGCTCCGCGCGAAACGTCGGTCGGTTGGGTTGCCTACATACAGGCGTGAAATTCCAGAAGATAATTTGGTTCTGGCGCCCTTATTTTAGATTTCCGACCCCAAGTGTCCTATATGAAAAGACTTCCCCTAGGCACCCCCTATACGCTCCCAAACGGTGGCAGTATACTATAGGAATCACCCTGTATATAACAACAGCGACTGGCGGTTGTTGATTTTGTACAAACTTATAACGCACCCTGTGGACTCGGAGTCTGCTAATTACAATAAAAAATTGCACAAGTACACTACTCTGCAAATATGTTCGTACTAATCCTCCGTGTCTTGAAACGAACAGCTATTACACTGGGGCGTTACGAAAATGTCCATATAAAAAAACACTGCTGAATGTGAATCTGCCGTGTCCTCGAAGGTTGATCGCCCAAATTTATCACTTGTTAAGATTTGTCAGCGCAAAGGAAACATGCGTTTGCTATCATTAGTATAACTGAAGAGCATAAGAATATTCAGAATTGAACAGCCAGTTTACTAGAAACTCAAAATATTTTGCTGCTTCTGAAATAAGCAATCCACACACATGCTTTCGATTTCCATGAGCAAAAGATCCTCTCTACGTAGCTTGTTAAGAATAAAATGTTTTCGGTTTTATGACTTTGAAGAAATGGTTATCTTGTTCCCTTTAATATAAAGCACTGCGAAGGAGTGAGGATACTTAGGATATAAAAGGAACCACAAATGTTTATTAAATTTCTAAAAGGCGATCGATTTCGGGTTTTCTATCTAGCCATCATCAGGCCATGGGTAGATAGAAAACCCGAAATCGATCGCCTTTTAGAAATTTAATAAACATTTGTGGTTCCTTTTATATCCTAAGAATTTACAACGAACCCAAAATAATGGAGAACTACATTACATATAGAGTCAGGATACACTGATGTAAAAAGAAATTGATTATAGGTACACCTACACTTCTTTAAAGATTATAACACTTACATATTCGTACAATAAGCTGGCATTGTTTACATCACAGTTTTTAACCATTCTTGGAAGTAGTCGGAATAATATTTTGTGTTTGTTTCATTGCAGAGCCCTGAGATGAAATTTTATTTCGTATATTTTTATAAAACATGACAGTACAATGCAAAGTTAGGTTATAAATTACAGCCGTTCAGATTTTAGTTTTTAATTTGACAGCAAATTTTGCCCAAAAATGATGATTGCGATACTTTCTTTTTATCAACAATTTATCCAACGCGCCCTCTGGACTGAACTCCAAGTACTAACTGTTGGCTAATGAATTTTCGACCTTGTGGTTGTGAGCAATGCGTAAATAATTTAGTGATACATAGTGTGACATCTGCCCGCCTTAACGGGAACTCTTTTATAGGATCATGTAGCCTCATAAGCTCGGCCTATCTGATAGTGTATATAATCAATGGTATCGATAAAAAAAAAGGTGAATCAAAATTCAACTTGTGGCATACTAGCAAAAGCTTCTATGATTTTGATCCTAAATTAGTTTCTATATTAATTATTCACTACATTGTAAATTAGGCATTTAAGTTCATTTACCTTCACTAGTAGAACAATATTATTGTGTTTATTTAATTTCGCATATCAAACATGAGATAAGGTCTACTGCAATTGACTTTCTACAATATAAACAAACAGTTACGGCTTGAAAATTTGAAACTAATAAGTCGCGTAAAAAGTGGGGCTAGTGACTATTCGCTATTCATTTTAAGAAGGTAGCGGTAGAAAGCATAGGGACAGCTTGACCTTCACTGTGATTGGTTAAAACACAAGACAGTATTACCCTGAAAAATAAAACGAGTGACGTCTGTCTGTTAGAAGTTTCAATTACGAACTAAACTGTCGAACTGTCATTAGCTGTCAATTTCAAAGATCCAAGCGTGATATCGTTTGATTTATATTTATATTTTTCAAATTTTGTGCCGTTTTATATTTTTTCTGTGTGTGTCGATCTTCAAACACAGCGCCATGTATGTATCTGTGCCATATGTAAACTTTTTTTGTGTATGTTTCTTCTGTCAGTCAATGCATTCAAAAAATAACATTTTTATTTTTTAATTAAACAATGTCAGATACCGGCCCGTCAGAAGGCGAGGATGATGCATCCCCACTATTCATATTCTATTAATTTCTCATATTGGTGCGCCACGAAGCCAGTTTGCTTCTCCTGCAGACATGGTCATCTTTGAATAGCTCGCTCTCGCCTTGTTACTAGTACAGCTCTCATACAGATACATGAAAATTCCACTAAATAGCCATAGTGTAAAGAATATAATAGTGAGACAGCCTTACAGAAAAAAAAATGGAAATGGGTTTGGACATCGAGATTTCGTAGTTCTGGACGCGATCTCTAAAACGGAGGGCGCATAGATCACAGTGTTTGGCACTGATCGATGTTACAAATCTCTAAGAATAAACTGCGATTAATCACAAAACCAACCATTTACAGATGAGATGAACAAATTTATTCGGCATAAACCAATCATAATCTGAAAGACAAACAGGCACTCAGGGCCAGAATAACACAAAACATGCAACAAGTGATCGATAAAACAATTAATTAATTAACTCAATGACCGAAGATCATTTAACAGCTATTTCCATGTTATCTATTGAGAAGCAGACAATTTTAATGACAAACTGATTACAGCATTTGGGAACAAACTACCAATCCTATATGGGATATTGACATTGTGAACAATACCTTCCTTCCTAGCTACCTTCATTGTATCTTGCTGGTTAGCTTATTTTAATTTTAATCATTCACAATAATAATAATAATAATAACACGTAACTTTATTAGGCAGTTCAGTTTTTCCACCTAACCACCATGTGCATGTGCACTAGCGTCGTATAGTATAATGAAACAGAAAGAAAAGATCTGTATTTTTTACCGACAATCTAGAGAACAATCTTTAATGAATAACAATATTGACAGGTAAGACATCTACCTATAACTCCTACATTTGCAGTTCCCAAAAATTACATAGGGGTTCTCTGACTTCTATTTTTTACACTATGATGATATAGCTAAGTGTGCTGTGAATTTGTATCTTAATTACACACACATAATTAGTGTAATCACTTGAAATCAGATTAAATTATGATATGACCTGTAAGGTGCAAAGGTAGACACTTTTGAAACATTAGACTAGTTGGTAATGGAAATAATCCTGTGCGCATTTATTAGCCAATTCACTTTATAAACCCAGTAAATTTGTTTTGATAGGCGTCTGTTTTACATTCCGCCCGCAAACAAACGAAAATCTAAACATTCCTCTTTACACCAGATTTTTTATAAAAAAAAGTATTGTTTGTACTTACATCGATTTAAATATACCTCAATGTTTTTAACTTTTCTAACGGCCGGATGATCACAATCGGTTATTAAAGCTTGCACTGTATCTAATAAACAGTCGATGTTAGCTTTGCTTTTGGGATTTTGAATGCGCTCCTCCAAAAATCGCAATCGCCGCTTGCGATCCTCATCCCTTATCCTTTCCATCGCGAATAAAGCTATGTTTTGTAGAAATGTGCTTGAAAAATTATATATTTCAATACTTCCGATAATCTATGGTCTGGTCATCAGTTGTGAATTCAACCTAAAGAATAAAAATAATCATTACAATGTAATAATCGAGTTTGTTTATAATATGACAAATGGTTGGTTCTAATAAATTTAACTGTTTGTATTTCCTGTTTATTTATTTCGTTAATTTGTGATACTCAAATAAATGATGAAAAGTAGGCGTGAATGATAAATTGAATTTTACTATTTATATTTAAAGGCCACCGTTGATCTTCACTTTAATAATTATTTTGCATTATGTCACACAACAAAATTTGAATGTTTTATGTCAAGTGTCGTCCCAGTTACATATAGATGTATATAAATACCGATACCTTTGTATTTCATAACTTTGGAAGACCCATTTATAATTGTATCATTCTCGACTTACGTTAAACAAATTTAAGGAAACAAAAAGAAAATAATTATTCACTACCTGGCTGCTAGCAGCCATTTTAAAATTTATGAATGAATACTGTGAAGTTGCAGTTTCACAAACATAAAATGAAGGTCATGTTATATACCGTAGTGAAGGTAGCAGCCAGAAAGTAGCAGCCGAATTAATATGTGGCAACAGTGTGTAGTCACTGCAAACAGGCCACTCCCCTGAAAACCACGCCCTATTTTGAATAGAAACTATTAAATCGGCTGCTCCTTTTTGGCTGCTAGCTTCACTACATCCCTAAGTATTTCACTACATCCCTATACAGTGTATAATTCTATTAATACAGCTGCTTACTTTTTGGCTGCTAGCTTCACTACATCCCTAAAGCGTAGAAATTCAAATAAATCGGCTGTCAGATTCACTATATTCCTATATATATATATATAGTACCTACAAATTCCTATCAAAATGGCCCTAAAGGTACAGGAGCGACTTATTATACGAAAACACCTATTCGAAATTGCTCTCAAAACGGCCTTAATCGAGAGTGTTACGCGATGCAATTGATACACAATTTTGATAATGTAATGCCCTTTTAGAAAAAACAAAAAAATTGGAAAGTCTATGTCGGGAAGGTGTTTAAAAATGGCCCTAAAGGTACAGGAGCGACTTATTATACGAAAACACCTATTCGAAATTGCTCTCAAAACGGCCTTAAACGAGAGTGTTACGCGATGCAATTGATACACAATTTTGATAGTGTAATGCCCTTTTAGAAAAAACAAAAAAATTGGAAAGTCTATGTCGGGAAGGTGTTTAAAAATGGCCCTAAAGTTACAGGAGCGACTTATTATACGAAAACACCTATTCGAAATTGCCCTCAAAACGGCCTTAAACGAGAGTGTTACGCGATGCAATTGATACACAATTTTGATAATGTAATGCCCTTTTAGAAAAAACAAAAAAATTGGAAAGTCTATGTCGGGAAGGTGTGTAAAAATGGCCCTAAAGGTACAGGAGCGACTTATTATACGAAAACACCTATTCGAAATTCCTCTCAAAACGGCATTAAACGAGAGTGTTACGCGATGCAATTGATACACAATTTTGATAATGTAATGCCCTTTTAGAAAAAACAAAAAAATTGGAAAGTCTATGTCGGGAAGGTGTTTAAAAATGGCCCTAAAGGTACAGGAGCGACTTATTATACGAAAACACCTATTCGAAATTGCTCTCAAAACGGCCTTAATCGAGAGTGTTACGCGATGCAATTGATACACAATTTTGATAATGTAATGCCCTTTTAGAAAAAACAAAAAAATTGGAAAGTCTATGTCGGGAAGGTGTTTAAAAATGGCCCTAAAGGTACAGGAGCGACTTATTATACGAAAACACCTATTCGAAATTGCTCTCAAAACGGCCTTAATCGAGAGTGTTACGCGATGCAATTGATACACAATTTTGATAACGTAATGCCCTTTTAGAAAAAACAAAAAAATTGGAAA